TCATTTCCAACATAATATTCCTTCCTAATAGCATTGAAATTTCCCCATCTTCTCTGATTCTTCCCTCTATTTCTCATTCCTTGTTTGCCATGTCTTATAAATTTGGAGATAGGGCCTATTTCTTTACTGTAGTAGATGTACTTAGGAGACAATAATTGCTCTGAAAAATAAGAAAGGCTGTAAATAAAGCAGTACATAGAAAGACTCCACTTTGGCCTTTTTGTTAAATATTTATCAGCAAGAAAAATGAGAAAAGTTTGGATTAAGTCAAAGTAAATGTCACTATCTGAGGCACCATCATAACTGACCTAGAATAAAATTGCAAGATAGGATTTATTACTAGAGTGATAGTTGCCAACTGGAAATACATATGTATTGCAATAAAACTAATTTAATGTATGCAGTTTCAAGGGAACACTTATACAAGATGCTTTTCAGAACTGTAAAAGAATATATTACATATATTTGAATATACTGCAGATGTAGAGGTAGAAAAGAACATGTTGATATTAGGGGAGATTGTATTTAGCTTAAAAATTTTAGTTAAATATATAGTATAGTCTAATGAAAGTATACAATGAAATACAACTAAATCTATAAATATGCAATTAATGAGTAGGTTGATTCCAAATGCATCTAGCACTATTTTTTTAATGGCATCCTGGGTACATTTTAAACTTATGTCTTGAGCTCTGTCGATATTATATACTGATATGCATTGCTATTGGTGAATATCAATAACTCTGTTGCTAAATTATTGTGGGTAATTTCCAATTTAGTTTGCACCTGGAACCATTTCCTCCAAATTTCTATATTCAGATCCAAGCAAACATGCATGCCACTCTGCTCAGCTAGCAGAAAAATAGCTTGTAGATTGCCAGTGTCCTTATCTGAATTCAGACAGTCTTGTTTCAAGTGGGAGGTCACCAAGCAAACATGAAAAAAAAAAAAAGATGGGATAAAAGATAAGCAAAAGCAGAGCAAGGCAGAGATAAATTAAAGCAAATTTGTTGCTTTTTCACCACCTATCAAAAAGTACAGAATTTTCCAGAGCTATGGGAAATACTACTGTGGATACTTGGCATGGCCTGTCCTAAAGCAAGTAGCCTTAGGTTATTCCAGTCTTACCCATTTTATGGAAAGAAGGATACCATTTTTTCAAGGTTCATTGGCTTCTATTATCTACTGCCTCAAAATAAGAAGTGGTATTTCCTGAAGTCTGTAGTAATGCTTTATGGATTAAAGTTGCAACATGTTAAAGCTTACTTGGGAATGCAGGTATATCCAATTGAAATTTATTTATTTTAGTAGAGAAATATGGCTCACAGAAAAGCATAGTAGTCCTCCACCTACAACCAGGGGGCAGAATTTCTGTTGCTAAGCAAAGTGATTGTTAAGGGAGTGTCAGATTTTATGACTTTTTTACCATGGTTGTTAAACAAATCACCGCGGTTAAGTTAATCTTGCAGTGTTTAATGAATCCTGCTTCCCCATTGACTTTGCTTGTCAGAAGCCAGCTGGGAAGGTCAGAAATCATGATTACATGATTCTGGGATGCTGCAAGGATTGTAAATACATGGCGATTGAATTTTGAAATACAAGCACCTAAATTTTTGATTAAATGACTGATCATAAATTGCTGAGGGATTATTGAGTGAAACAAATAAATTATCTCCATGAACAAAAAAAAATGTTTACAAAAATAATGAGTGCAAGACTTTGGTAAGCTTCATATCTGCATATTGTACTTATATTCTTGTGTGTAGGCAAAAACATTGCATTCCTAATAAACCTATATTTTCATCTTTGCTCCAGATGGATCATTGAGAAAATATTTTTTCTATTTTGGTGTGTGTGTGTTTGTGTATGTATGTGACAGGAAGTGCATTTATAGTCCTGATAAGCAGCCAGATTGTTTCAGCCAAGATTAAAACTGGTTTTATATCCTGTTGCCTTTTTAATAAACCACTGATGTTGGTTTAATTAAGAACATCTGTAATACATCAAAATGATGCTTAGAAGACCTTAATGGAAAACAACTGATTCTAATATATATTATTGGATTAGTTACTTAATCCCTTTCATTCTTATTACTATAAAAATACATTTTGCAACCATTGCTACAATCATGATTACAGTAAATAATGTACATTGGTCGCCTTTTTATGTATACCTAATAGAATAACTGCTTGTACATTTGAGTATAGTGTATTTTAAGCAAATGTAAAAATAATTTATGTGCAGAAAATGTTAACTGTAGTTATGAAGGATATAAAGGAGTGGAACTTACTTGTGATGACCTGGGGTAAGGCACAGAGGCAACACAATCAGCTGATAGTTCAAATTGCCCCTTTATTGCTCCAACTTTCCCCCAAATGCTCCCACATTAAATCCCAGAGCAAAGTGATCACACACACACACACACACCTCCAACAGCCTCTGGCTGCAAGTAGTTCGGCAAAATGCCGTGAGCACAATGGCTGCAAAGTAAGAAATCCAGAGGGGCAAGGGAATACGTCGATGAGTCCAGGAAGCATAGGAACACAGCAATGGTTTCAGGAAGCAAAGGAACAAGGCAATTAATCCAGGAAGCAAGAAATAAAGCAAAAAGTCCAGGAAACTCTAAACGTCGGCAACGGCACGCCAAACTCCATGAATTCAGCATTTGTTCCTGACAAATGCCCTTCCCCATAGTGTCTCCTTAAGTCTAAGTCCCCAGGTGTACCTTGTGAAGAGGGACGTGGTGCTCTCCTCCTGAGTTGTCAGATTGGCCTGTGCTGTTCCCACCTCCTTTCCACTCTCGTGCTCATGGATCAGGAGAGGGCAGCCCTTGCTCATCGCCTGAGCTGCATCGCTCTTCATTTCCACTGCTTGCCCTCTCTCGGTCATCCTGCCCCAGTTCCTCCCTGGTAGCAAGCCGTCCCACTCCTGAGGGGCCCTGGTCTGCCTCCTCCCCACATTCTTCCAAAGCCAATTAAGCCCCCCACCCACCCCTCGGTCTCCCTCAGCTCCAGCTCTGGCTCTGGCTCATCTTCGTCTGCAGATTCCGGCTCTGACAAGGACATGACATTACTTTTATTAGTTTGGACAATTGAATGTTGTGAAGATATTACTAAAACAGCTATACATGCTTTTAGGCATACATATATAAAAAAGGAAACTATCAATGAGTGATAACCAGGCATTGCACTTGAAATAGCAACAGCACTTAGACATATATACTTTACAATACTTTACCGCCTTCTTTAAGCAGTTTACTGAGTTGGCATCTTGCCCCCGACAATCTGGATCCTCATTTTACCGACCTCGGAAGGATGGAAGGCTGAGTCAACTTTGAGCCAGTGAGAATTGAATTGCTAAACAGTAGTCAGCCGGCAGTCAGCAGAAATAGCCTGCAGTATTGCATTCTAACCACTGTGCTACCATGGCTCATATAAATATAAATATATTTTATATAAATGTAAAATTTAGGCATATGCTTTTTCCATTAACCAATGCCCTGCTTAGCAAGTATGTTGTAATGACGAGGCAGTCGAGTTGTTTGATCATGAACAACTGAATCATGATGATCTTTATTGGAGTATAGTCTTGTATTTATATACATTTTTAGTTATCCTCCATCATTGGTTAACTTTGGTTACTGCTTAACTTTCGTTACTGTTTAGTACAGTAATCCATACAATTAATTATCTCTAGTTAAAGTCTAACATATGTTTACTTCCCCTCTCTAATCCTCCTTTATCCATAGATTAGTGACTTTGTTTGCCTGAGTTGTATTTGCTTGGAAACATTCTTTATCTGAGGTTTGCCATCCAAGATTGGAACGTTTACAACTCTACACAAGTACATATCCTAACCCCCCTTGGCTGCTTCAGAGTAGAAAAGATGACTCTCAGTCCTCAGGATGCTCAAGTTCAAAAGTTTCAATTAAAATGTGAATAGACTTTGCACTAATCCCATCATCCATTTTTCAGAATAATATTCTTTGGATCAGTATAGGTCCAAGTGACATAATCTACAAATAGACCCCAGTGGCTACTGGTTGCAACCCAGAATCCCTCATTACCTGATATAGCTCTGTTAGATGATAAGGGTAAATGTCCTGAAATATTAATATGTCTATTGTTACCACAGTATAAAATTGTAAATGGATGTTACAAATCTTTTGGTTTATTTAAATATGAAAATCTCAGCTGAGCAGAGTGGCATGCATGTTTGCTTTGTTCTGAATATAGAAATTTTATGCTTGTATCAATCAGACAATGTTTTATTTAAATTGGAAATTTTTAAGTTAAAAATGGGTTTAACTCCAAACTGCTTTTTTGTATTTTGTAAAATGTAAAATAATATAATTCTGAGTCTATCAATACAGATACGCATAGTTAGCATCTTTCTCATAGAAAATCTTACACTTGTAAATGCAAATAAATCTGGTTAGAGAAGTGATCTGAGAACTGATAAGATCATTCTTAAAGTAATTGTATTAAACTAGCATTTCAGATACCCTTGATACATTTATTAAGAAAGATGCCTTGAGGTTTTTCTGTTTACTGCTGCCATTTAAATTTCAGAAGTGGATAGTCAGGTATATTGCTTTTTTACTTTGGATAACCAAAGAACCATATTCTTGCTCATCTCTAAGGGCTGTAAAGCTTATTTTCCTACAACCTGATTTCTTTCTACTCTTAAACTTGTTTACTCTTCTAGAAAATTCTTTCCCTTTCCCAATGTCGATTCCCCATTACTTGACTAATGTAAGTGGTAATGTAGAAAAATGCTATTTGGTTCCATTCCTATTAAATCAGATATTAAACAAGGAAACTTTGGAATAGTAAATACCCTCCCAAAAGGGGTGATACGCTGTAATTCACAATTGAAAAGCTGTACATTTCTAATATTTTTATTCTTTTGAATACAATTAAATAATTCTTAATAATTCTCCACTGATTACCAGTTCACTTTCTTATAAGCTGACTTTTCTATTTCTTTCTTTCAGCCTATTCATCCTTAACTGAAAATAGGAAACTATTACATGAAGTCAAATATGTGGACAAAAAAATGAAATATTTCTCCTGAAAACAAACAACCATTTTGATCCTTGCTATAAATCTGAGCTTATCACGGTAAGAATTTCATGCTTCATGTTGACTTTTTGTTAATATTTATACAGATAGTCCTTGAGAAGAATTCATTTACTGACCATTCGAAGTTACAACTTATTGTTGAGATTTATTATCTTTTTTCACATTTATGACCATTGCAACATCACCATGCTCACGTGATCAAAATTCGGATGCATGGTAACTGATTCATATTTATGACAATTCCTGGGTCATATGATCACCTTTTGTGACCTTTTGACAAGCAAAATCAATGGGAAAGCCAGATTCACTTAACAATCACTTTACTAACTTAACAGCTGCAGTGATTCAGTTTAACAACTGTGGCAGGACAGGTCATGAAATGAGTCAAAATTCACTTAACTGTCTCACTTAGCAACATAAATTTTGGGCTCAATTGTGGTCATAAGCTAAGGGCTACCTGTAAATACCAACGAATTGGAAATAATTGCATTGAGGAAGTTTGCAAATGATTACTGTGACTTGTTAATTCTGTTTTCAGAGAAAACTGTTTCAACCCATTCTCGTCTGACTGCACATGTGTATATCATTCAGTTACTTATAGCTGAATCTAAACTGTTTGAAAGAAATATTACATTTGCAGAAAAAGATACACAATGATTGGAAAATGCTCTTCTGTGGTGTTGAATTTTGATGCTTGTTTTATAAAGTCAAGGCACAATTTGAAAATTTAAATGTGGTGTGATGAGTTTGTATGTATAATATAGAGAAGAGGAAACTGTCCCTCTAACTATTTGAGTAATTGTTTACAAATGCTGGGAGTCATTCAATATTTGTAAGGCCATACATTATCCATACTTGGTTTACATTTTTGTGTTCGTGCGTGTGTGTGTGTGTGTGTGTGTGTGTGTGATAGCATCCAAAATATTAACTACATAGCCTTGAATATCCACAAAAGATAGAGAGAGAAAATGCATTGAAAGATGGTTCAAAAACTGAGTGATATTTCAGTTGGTGAAACTACTAATTAGTTTTATTTGTTAAGCCAAATTCCTTTTGAAGTAACAGTACATAACAGTTGGAATTATGCTCTTTATGTTTCCTTATTTTCTTTAAACACACCTTCTGAAAGATCATTTTCCACTGTCACCTCCTTTAATACTTATGGTTGAGGAGGCAATTCTAACCTAGAGAAACACTTAAATATCTTTTGCATATATCTGGAATTCTCATTGCAAATTAGGGGAATTTTCTCTCCTTTTGCTTCTTATGCTTCCTCATGGTCTTTCCCAACAGCCTCCTATGCCTATTTTGATCTGTGATACATTAATTTACATTAATTTTCAGATCCATTGCATCATATAGTCTATCTAATATTTGCTCCAATTACTGTGGGTTCTTTGTCAATAATACATACATTCAACAAAGAACACATTTCCAATAAATGTACCTTCTAACATTACCATAAGCATTATATATATAATTATCCATAAGCCTATTAGACAATTGGAGAATCCCCCTAATTTTCTTATTCCTTGCTCAAAGTTGAAGTATTTGCTAAATATTCAATTTTTTTCTTGCCCATGCTTAACTGCTATCTATACCACACTTCCATTCTGTATTCATCCAAAACATTTGATAATTCAAGCTTATATCTTATCCTTTTAAAAAAATTAATACACTTTTTCAGTCAGTGTTCTTTAATGCTGAAGAACTGCTTGGAATGCAGTTGCTGTGCACTTCCCAAATTCTCATAATTGTCCCCTTTTCTCCCCTTTTAATCAGGATTTATTCAAACATCTCTCCAGTCACACACCAGCTAAACCATTTGTGTTTTACATTCATTCTTGCTCTCTATGCCCTTGCAATAGGGAAAAGGCATTCTTCCAACCTTTGAGCATAGAGTATTTAACAAATATTAAACAAATTGAAGCACAGTTCCATAAGGAAATCACATCAAATTTGCACTTTTTTGAACTACACAATCTTATTACTACACAACCGCTGCAATCTTATCATTTTTCAACATTCTCACAGCATATTACTTTATTTTCCCAATTCATTCTTTTATGATAACATTTATAGCATTCTCTTCAGTACTACTCTTTATTGTATAAAATACATTTCTGAAACATTTTCTTCAAAACTCTTCCATTTCAGTTTCATCCCTAATGTATTTTATTTTTAATACGATTCACTCTTCTTGGTCTACATTCTTTGTAGCTACCATTTTCTTACTTACAGTCTAATCCAAAGCAAAATTTTGAACTTCTAGTTACTTGGAAAAAGTCTTCTTAACTATCTTTGCATTATGTTGTCTTTTAATAATTAACTACACTGCGATTCTATATTTTCCGTTCTTCCTCAAATGATTTTGCACGTGCTGTGGTGTTGAAGAAGTTAGTACAAGAGTAACTCCATGGGTAGAAAACCTAAATGTGGTCCTAAATTCTTCTCCTGTTGTCACTGCCAGTTCCCCTGACTCTGCGATTGTAGTAAAAAAAGTCCAAGATTGGAAGACAGGCTTGAAATTCAAGAAGATTTGAGTTCAACTTGTGAATATTTATTTTTTCTTGTTTTTTCTGTTTTCTGGTAGTGATTAGCACCCCAACATTATTTTCATGGCACTTTAGTCTGAGAGAGTTGCATTAGACTTAGAGCTATACAATAAGTCTTCTGTCACCTCGTAGGGAATATGGAAATTATTATCTATTATGAGACTAGAAACTTTTGACGCTGAATTAGTAAAGTGCTAATCAAACTGTAATAAATTAACTCGATTTACCTCAGACTGTGAGCAAAGTACTCTATTTTGGCTGCCCTAATTAGGGACTCTGCATGTTTTTATCAAAACATATTTATGCTTTTCCAATTTTGCTGCATATGTTCAGTATAATTTGACTTATTTGTTTCTCCAAATGATATTAATCAAAGTGTAACATGATCCCATTTCAGCTTTACTTCAAAACATTTATTCAAGGCATCTGCTTCTTTTGCTTTCCATTTTTTAAAAAAGATAAATATAACCTCTTCTCAAAATCTTTCCCTAAAATGTAGAGCAAAACAAGCCTGGATGAAATTAGCACTGAACCACAGGAAGCCTTTGTACTTAGCTCTTTGCTCATTGTGTTTCCTCTTAGTAGAGACTTCATATTGTGTAGAATACCAGCTCTACTAATATTCTTAATTGTCTTGTATTATATATTTATGTCTGTAAGTTGAGGACTTGAATACAGTTGTCCTCAACTTACATTCATTTAGCAACCAAAGCTACAACAGCATGGAAAAAAAGTTAGTTATGACCCGTCCTTGCACTTAAACCATTGTAGCATCGCCAGAGTCACATGATCAAATTTGGGCATTGGCATGTATTTATAATGGTTGCAGTATCCTGGGGTCATGTGACTGTAATTTGCAGCCCTCCCAGCTGCCTTCCAATCAGCAAAGTCAATGGGGGAAACTCACTTAACAACCATGTGATTTGCTTAATAACTATGGCAATAAAGATTGTAACATCAGGCACGACTCACTTAAGAACCACCCTGCTTAGCAACAGTCCCAATTCTGGTCATAAATCAAGATCTGTCTATATATACATTCTCTCCTTCCCTCCCTCTGACCCTCTCTGTCAACAATTATTATTGAGTCTGTGAAGATCAAATAAGTAAAAATGGTTTATTAAAACATGTTTATTGGAGCTATTTATTTATCCAATTTATACAGTAACCGTATTCAGGGACTCCAAGTGGCATATATCCAATAACATAAGACAGTCCATAAAATAAACTATCACACTCAATAAATGTAATTAGATTTATATTTATGAAATGTAGACTTATGTCAAACCAGAGGCTCAGGAGAGATGTAAAGCATATTCTGCCTTCAAATGCATAGCAAACAAGAATGATCTTGACTTTTTAAAGGCGAGCAAGATAGGGGTTACTTTCACCTCAGGAAGGAAGATATTTCGCAGGGTGAGGGCTGCGACTGACAAGGCTTATTCTCTGTTCCGCTCCAAAATAAAGTGACATTCTAATATAAGAGCTGTAAATAACATTTATATTGATTTTGTTCTTTAATGATTTTAAGAAATGCAGAACACCAATGGATCCATTTTATATAATTTCAACAGTCCAGAAAATGAAAAAGTACATTATGCTTTTAAGCTAATTAACGCTCATAATTTAATCAAATCAGGCAGGCTATTTCTATAATCTTCTGTCATCAAGTTGGCATTTTCATCTGTATTAAGTCATTTTAAGGTCTTGCAGGACTTTTCATTGCATGAACCTGAAAAATGTCAGAGCTCCTTCAAAGACTTAACTGAACTTATTCCTAAGAGTATTGAAACATTTATTTTAAGATATACACAACCATAAATACTGTTCTTTGGAAACCTTATCTGATATTTTCTGATTTATATTTCTTCTCATGTCCATCTTCCATCTCCAGTCTTCGAAGGGAGGGGATTATGCTCTGCTTCAATATGTCACAGTATATGTTGGCATTCATGGTTTTCTCAATGAACTGTAACTCCCCAGTGCCGGCAGCACTCATGCAGCCCCAGACCATGACATTCCCACAACCATGCTTGACTGTAGGCAAGAAACATTTGTCTTTTTACTCCCCACCTGATTGCCGCCACACATGCTCGACACCATCTGAACCAAATAAGTTTATTTTGGTCTCATCGGACCACAGGACATGATTTCAGAAATCCATGTCCTTAGTCTGCTTGTCTGCAGCAAACCATTTGTGGCCTTTCTTGTGCATCATCTTTAGAAGAGGCTTCCTTCTGAGACAACAGTCCTGCAGACCAATTCGATGCAGCGTGCAGCGTATGGTCTGAGCACTGACAGGCTGACCCTCTCACTCCTTCAACCTCTGTAGCAATGCTGGCAGCACTCATCTACTTCCCAAAGCCAATCTCTGGATATGATGCTGAGCATGGGCACTCAACTTCCTTGACCATGGTGAGGCCTGTTCTGAGTAGAACCTATCCTGTTAAACTGCTGTAGGTCTTGGCCATCATGCTGCAGCTC